CAGATCCCACACAAAGAAGCCATAAGTGATTCAGATATTAAGAGTTAGTAGAAAAAGAGTCTAACTATGATTAATATACTCAAAAATGTAATAAAAGATGGAGAAATTACATGAAAAACAGAGAATTTCATCAGAGAATTAGTCAATAAAAAGGATCAAATGCAAAAAAAAAGATCAAAAGGAATTTCTAGGACTGTTGAAATTAAGAATGCAATAGATAAGACTGAATAACACATTAGACCTAGTAGAAAAGATGATTAATAAATTGGAAGGCAGGTCAAAATTCTTCAGACCTGAAGCACAGGGAAAAATGTAAAATAAAGAAAAGATATAAGAGACATGTGGTAAAGTAAAAGGTCTCAATCATGTAAATTTGAAGACATAGAAAAGAGAAAGAATGGGACAATAAAGTACTCAATGAGATAACAGCAAATTAATTAGAGCTATCAATGCACAAATATAAAAATTACTAAGAACCCCTGCAGGGTTGAAGAAAATAAAGAATAAAAAAATAATCAATAATGCCAGACCTAGAGACATCATGGGAAAACTGATAAAAACTAAAAACAAAGAGAAAATCTTAAAAGAAGCCTGAGGTAAAGTCACAATATCTTCAAAGGAGTACTAATGTTGATTAAAGGCTGATTTTCAACAGAAATGATGGAAGCCTAAAGACAATGAAATAATGTTTCAAAGTGCTGGAAAAAAACTTCAAATATATAATTCTATCTTCAGAAAATAATCATCCAAAAGTGATGGCAAAATGAAGACATTTTCAGTCAAGTAAAAATTGAGAGGATTTCACAAACACCCACATTAAAAAAAATGCTAATCAAACTCTAATTGGGCAGAAGATAATAAACCCAGATAAAATCATGGTAATGAGGAAAAATGAAGAACACTGGAAAAAGTAAACATGTGGGTAAATAAGAATGAATATTGCTTAAAAATAACAGTGAAAAAATATCAAATAGATTTTTTAAATATGTAGATTAAAACACATGGCAAGAGCAACACAAAAAGTGTGAGGGCATAAACAATGAAAATGCAATACTGTGCTTTATTATCCAGTATTGTATTTACCCAAAAGAAATGAAAACATGTTCACAAAATGACTTATACACAAATAAATGTACACAGAAGCACTATTAGTAATATTAGAAACTGGAAACAATTCCAATGTCCATCTACATGTCAACTGATAGATTAAATGGACTATCACTCAACAAAAAAAGTGAGTAAAATACTGAAGGCTAAAAACTATGGATGAATCACACAAACATACTGAGTAAAAGAAGCCAGATTAAAGAGTACATACTCTACAACTCCATTTATATGAGGTTCTGACCAAGCAAAATTAATTTATGATGTGTAAAGTCAAGGCAATGATTTTCTTTGGGAGTATTAGAGACTGGGAAGGGGCAGGAGGGGACCTCTGGGAGGTTGGCAGTGTTTAAGCTCTTAATCTAGCAATGTGTTTACTTTGTGGAAATTTATCAAGCTCTATACTCAGGATTGGTTACTTTTCTACATGTATTTCCAAAAAAGATTAAAAGATATATTTCAGACTTACATTAAGTTATACAAAGAATAAGAAGACTGTATCACCACCTAAGATTAAGAAATAAAACATTATCAATATAACTGATACATGTGCTTCTCTCTCATTACACCTCCACACACCTCATCAAAGATAACCACTCTCATGAATTTGGTGTTCACCATTCCTTTGCACTATTTTATACTTTTACTCCTTAGATAAGCTCACCTAAACAATGTATAGAACTGTTTTGTATGTTTTTAAACTGCATATAAAAAGTAATTTGATATCTATTTTTAAAAGATCATTCCAGAAGAGCGACTAGGGAACTTTCTAGGATGACAAAAATATTCTACATCTCGATTGGAGTGTTGGCTAGATAGGTATATACACACCTTTGTTAAAACATCAAATTGTACATTTAATATCTATGCATTTCACTATAGGTAAATGCTATCTAACTTAAAACAAAATTTTCAAAATAGATCATTCTAGCTTTTTCACTGGCAGTGGATGAGGGGTAGACAGAAGTGAGCCCAGGAAGGCCACTTAAAATACTACAGTAAACCTGGTGGTCAAAAGCATCTATCCGAGCAGAAAGGAATAAAGACAGGTGTGGACACAGTTCTTTCAGCAACTTAACTGTGAAATGGAGCAGTAACTGGAGGACCAAAGAAAAAATTCTTAAAAATAGAAGCTCAAGCTTGACCCATTTGAGAGGAAACACCAGAGACAGAGAAGAGATGAGGGATCAAGGAAGGAAGGAAGCTCTCAAGAAGGTGAGAGGGGAGGGGATGTGAAGTGCAGGTGGTTTGGTCTTTGCTGGCACACAATGTCTTCTTGTTTTCAACTGGAAGGAAACAAAAAGGGTAGAGATGCAGGAAAGATTGGTGGTGCAAAGATAAGGGAGTTCCCACCCAACAGCTGCTACTTTTTCAATGACCATGAATCATTTCTGAAAAGCATGGGCATAGGGCTTTCAAGCCTATGAAGAAGAATGGAATGAAATTGCATTGGAAAAGGCTGGAAAAGCCTCCCACTATGGTCAGCAGTGGTTAAGAAAAATCAAAGGTTCCATTGTGGACAGTTTAAATGCCTAACAGATATCCAAACTCTCACTATATAGTATGAGCTCAAAAGCAGGAATATTATTACTCATCTTCAATTATGCTGCATAGCATAACTTACATTAGATACTCAAGAGGGAATGAACACATGAATGAATGAAGATTAATTTTCTTTCGTATTTTATTAGCACATTTTTATAGTGTTGGTTCTATTCTATGATGGAACTAAAGAAAACAGGCTTTTCAGAAATAATTCACCTTCACTATAAATGCATTTTCCTCTTTCTCATTTTCAGTTCTGTGTATTCTGGGAAGAAAAACAGTCTGTGTCTTCCAATATTATCAGTTCCTCACTTTATCTAAAGAAATAACTGTTCATCTCCTTAAATAATTGTTAAATAGAATTCACCAATGGGGCAATTCTCATAGGAAATGAAGTGATAGAATATATATCCCTATATTACCACAATTTATGACAATCACAAAGATAGAGTTGATAAAGAAATTATGAACTCTTGCCAAAAAGGATTAACTTCTCTGTATTTGAGATGTTCCTGCTGCTGATTGTCACATGTGCACACTGGGTGAAGAAAGCCTTTAGCTCATGCACAGGAATCTCAGGGCAGTGCCAGAAACCTGAATGTACCCAGGACAGAAACACTGGCTGTCTTAAGAGATGAGTTAGCATATTGTGCTGCCTGTCATTTATCAAGTATGAACTGAAAAAGATTATAAATGCATTTCTTGCAGCACAAATTGTTATTTGTTTTAGTACACTAAGTTCCATTGAAAAAGGCTCATTCATGCAGGAAGCACCGTTTTGGTTGGCTGAGCTGGCTGAGCAGTTGGGTTTTTTGTGCTTACAATTCATGCATATACTTACTATGTATATTGAGTGCACTCTCCTAGTTCCTGTTGCCAAAGCCAGATGTAAATTCATATGTTTTGTTATTCTTAACTACAGTAATTCAGAACTTCAGCTGTCAAGTTTGGAGCTAATAGATATTCATATATGCAGTTCATGCTCTATTCTCAAAAATAATTTCTTGTTTGCTGTCAGAAGCTCCTAATATAATTATATAAAATGGCAGGTCAGATTTTAAAAAATAATCTAGATCCTTAACTAAATGCTGCTACAATGTTATTTTTTTCCTTGAAAAGAGCCCCTCTCCTATCATTCCCTTTATTCAGTAATTATAACCCCTCGTCAAGCAGTAAAATAGCAGAACATGTTAAATACCAGCAGACCACAAACAGCGTTTACAGGGAGGAAAAGGAGGAAAATCTCAGTTTTGTGCTAGACCATCCTTTGAGGCACTGTCATTTTAAGTGTGAAGGCATCAATTATTTCTCCTATGCTGAAAGATCTACACATTTAAAAGTTCTTTCAGTCCATAAAGAAAATAAGCAATCCTTTCCCTGTATCATTAAACACAACAGTATACCAATCCTGAGCTGGTTTTAAAACACCAGCAGGATTCTGTGGGTGACTATTAAGGTGTAATATTTCAACTTCAAGAGAAGCAGAGAGTTCTTCCGTGACCAAAGAGGACTGGAACCATACTTTAAATTGCCAGTTGCACAATATTTCTAGGGCTAAAGCCTAGCTCCACTGCAGCATCCTGTAATCCTAGAATCTAATGAAACCCTGGGGTCTCCTAGTCTAATCTGACATCCAAGGGAGGAACCTTTCCCCAGCATCCCTGACAGATGGTCAGCTTCTGATTCAATACTCCAGTGTGGGAGTTCTCAAGCAAAGATTCCCAAGGTGTATGATGAAAGGCTAGAACCAACCATTCAGACAGGGAGTAAAGCTCCAGAATACAGACAGCATTGCCAAACACTAAACTCAGACTTCCAAAAGAATGAGATTCATAATCAGCAATCTAAGGGTGCAATGTTAAGCAGCTAGACTCCCAATTCTGGGACCAGAGTAGGGCCCTTCGTGAGTCTGGGGAATAGCTCCTACAATCGGGAAAGCATGGTGGCTTTTCTCCAATTGATTTCTTAAAGAAATGACTCTTTCAGGCTCACAGCAAGGGTTTGTCAAGCTCAGAGAGGATCAAATCCCTTCCTTCTGAAAACCAAGCCAAGGGACCCCCTGGTGGAACGACTAATGCTTAAAATGCTCTTAACTTTGATGTTGAAAATCCTCGCTACAGTAAACTAGAACATTTCGGGCTCTTCTTCTAAGGTTCACACCGGCTGTGCTGTAACTGAAGCTGTTTGGCTAGTAGTGCAGGGCTGTTGATGTGGGGGTGCTTATATTTTAAGCGTAGCCCTTCATTGCGCCGTGGAGTTTGGCTTTTCTTCCCGGGAAAGGCAAGCGCTCAAGGCTGAGCTGCCAGCACAATCCTAGCCAGACTCCCAGGCCGGGGCAGCCCGGCCCTTACCTGTCGATGCTGATCACGCACAGGGTCATGATTGAGGCCGTGCAGCACATTACGTCCATGGCGATGAAGACGTTGCAGAAGAAGTGGCCAAAGATCCACTTGCCCCCGATGAGGTCGGTGACGCTGACGAAGGGCATGACCGCCACAGCCACCGACAGGTCGGCCAGCGCCAGGGACACGATCAGGTAGTTGGAGGGCTGGCGGAGCTTCTTGACGAAGCACACCGAGATCACCACCAGGCAGTTGCCGGCGATCGTCAGCAGCGTGATGAGCGTCAGGATGGAGCCGATCACAACTTTCTCGGCTCTGCCGTAGTTGATCTGCTCCCAGCAGCTGGAGTTATTGACCGGGGTCGCGTCCCAGGTGGGCACGGGGCTGGCCGTCACCTCGGGGACCCCGCGCAGCAGGTGCGGCGGCCAGGAGCCCGCGACCTGGCCGGCGCCGTCGGGGCTCAGGTCCGGGAGCCCGCGCCCCACCTCTGGCAGGAGAAAAGAGCGGAGGTGCCCGTAAAGGTCCGGGCGGCTGCTGCTGTTAACGTCCATCATCGTGCCGCTGTGCACCGCTGCCCATGGAGCCGGCGCCCCGCCGCACGCTCCCGCCGCTGGCCCGGGGTCTTCACCTCGCCGGTGCCGCTCTGCCCGGCCTAACCATGGGCCCGCGCCCGCCGCGTGGGGGCGCCCCGACTCGGCCTCGCAGCCCCGCACGTCCCGGGGCCCCAGCCGCTGCGGGCAACACGGGAGCGCGGCCGCGCGGGGACTCGCGGGGACGCCTCCGGCACCCGACGGTCGCCCGGGACACGCCGGCCCGCGAGCCCGCGGCCCAGGCTCGGCTGGCAGCCCCTCAGCCGGCAGCCGGCAGCCCGCAGCAGCCGCGCGGCTCGGCCGAGAGCGCCCGAGAGGCAGCGGCAGAAGTTGCGGAGTGCGCCCCGCCCCTCGCGCCCGCCGCCGCCGCCGCCGCCGCCGCTCCCCTGCGGCAGCCGCGCAGCGTCCCCTCCGCCGCCGCCGCCCGCCGCTGCCCGCGCCCCTCGGGCTCCCGGGACAGGCTTCCCGGGCTGGGCAGCGGCTGCGCCTCCCCACCCGGCGGGGGACGACGCTGCACGCGCCGCCCGGAATCCCGAGGCCGTCGCTCGCGGATCTCGCTCTGCGGCAGGAGGCTCAGACCCTCTCCGACAGTCCCGGCCCCCCGCGCGGTAGCCCACAGTCTGGTGGGGGCGGACCAGGGCGCCAGCGGACGCTCGGACTCACAGCGAAATGAAGAATCGGGGGTGGTTTTTTTCTCTTAATTAAAAAAGCCTTTTGGAACCCTACACCAAGCAACAAATAGATACTTCCGTTTTCTATTTTGACCACTTAAGGGAGAAAACGAAGATGGAGAAGGAGAAGCCGCCGAATGGGGTGGCGGTGGGAGAAGAAGAAAAAGGGTGGCGGGGGTGGCGGTGAACCATGCCCTCAGGTCCAGGCACTGAGGAGCAGCTTCTGGCTCTCGTGAGGGGACCCCCAGCGAGGCTTAAACCCATTCTGACTAACCTTCCAGGCGTTTAGAAGCAGGCCTCTCTCAGCTTTGAAAATAGACCCTGGCTGCTTCAATATATTCAGACTTAAAAGCCTAATATATTGAAATGAGGGTTAATTTTCCCGTGGCATTCTGGAAATCTTGCACATAGCAAAGAAATGACCCGTTAATAATGTTCTGCAGAAGAATCTTGGAGGTGTATGTTGATTTAATGCCTATTGCCTAAAATCCCCTGGTATTCAAACCCTGTCAGAGTGGCTGATTTTTATTATTTGTGAGGCTTATTTCATTTTGTTTAAAGGTTTTATTGGAAGCCAGCAGTGACTTCTTTAGTTTAAAGCTCTAAAAATAATTAAATCTGTTTTCTTTTCTAGTTAGTCCCTTGTGATTATAAATAAGAAGAAAGGAACACAAACCTCAAAATGTATTGATCCCAGTGCTAAATAATACTCTCATTCTTCAAGGTGGTTATTAGCCCTATTTTTCCAGATAAGGAAACACAGTTGCTACTGCAATCAGCTGGTGAGTAATAGTTAGGTTACATACCCGGGTGTATCTGATTACAATGTCCATATTCTTCTCTTTACATATTCCAAAAAAAAAAATTTAAGTAGAAAAAAAAATCCCTGAATGATGAGCCAATGTTCACAGCTCTTTCACTATTATGAACATGTCAGGGGGTTAAGCAGATCAGTACACTTGAGTCACAGGAAGATTGGAAGATAATATATAGACCACAAAACAATATTATTTAATATTATTGAATAGTTAAGAAAATGGATAAGGAAATTTCTTCAACCATACTTATGTTAGTATTCAACATAATTTCAGATAAAGAAAACTAGTTTGTAGCTGCAGGGCATCTAAGAAACCATGTGTTTGCCCCCTTCAACACTGAAAGGGAAACGGTGGGAGAAGGTTAATGACTTCAGCAAGATCGTATGTGATATTCTCACATACATTGATATTCTCAGTTTGGGATTTTGATGTATACAATTGTCTTAAAAATTCCTTAAGGTAGTAATTTCACAAGACAGTTTTGATTTTTCCCATTGTAAGTTTTTAGCTCATTTTAACCCATTTTGACTTTTCTAATTTATTTTTTCCTTGAGACATTGTCTTAAATCTTTTAAATAATATTCCACAAAGAATTAATTAATGTTATATATAACACATAATTATACAATGAATTTTCAAATAATAGGTTTTTTTTATTTCAATCCACAGTCAATATAATTTGCCACCTCCCATTTTACCAGCACTTACCCAGCCCAGTTACATTTCATGGTAGCAGTTGATATTTTTTGCTTTTGTACAAATAAACACCAAATAATCAGTAAAAACACTACTTTCCAATTTACTTCCTCTTCCATTTTCAATATAGCATGAGGTCCAAATTCCCTTTTTATAGAGCAGTCACGTCTATAATGTTATTCCTGGTGATTGCTGAGCATGTTTCCTAAGAGTTGCTAGATTTTTAATTTATAAGCTGTCACAATGCATAAACATAGTTATTGAAAATCTCAGCTTTTGCAGCATTATCTCATGTGTGTTGAGTTTAAATTTCATCTATCATTTTATTTCAAAATCATGACAGAACTACCTGGAATCTTTCAGGTTCCCCCTAACCTTGACTAACAAATAATCCTCTCTTCATAAAAATGCCAGAATCTCATGTGTACTTTACCATAATTTTCTCACAGAGGAAAAATAAAAGTACTGCTTCACAAAATATTCATAGAATACTTAGACATTCATCTAAATTTGTTATTTGTTTTGCCCTTGGTTTCCTGATGTTTTAAAATCTATATCAAGGTGTTGATCATCTCACCTTCCCCCTGCCTGCCCACTCTTTGGCAGTTTTACTGGAGATAATAAGAGAAGTATTGGCATCACAATCAAATCTTTTATTTAGTTTTTTATCCCTTATTTCTTTCATTAAAAAAATAACTCTGCTGCTTTAAAAAGTACCAACCTTGCCTAGACTTAAATTGCCTAGACTTAAATGCTCATCAAATTGTCAATGAGGGCACCTGAGACTATGTTTTGATGTTTTCATCTGGCAAGCTCCCACTCTTGAAACTGCTCTAAGGGAGTAGAGAAGAGTAGCCAAGTCCTACAACAGATATCATCACCGTTTTGTAAGCTCTTCTTCTTTCTGGGTACTTATCTAGCTCCTCTCAATGCATATGCTTCATCCTATCTATAGAGACCCACACATACCCATCCATTGGACATAAATTTAGGAGAGTGTTTTCCCCATACACCAGCATACTCTGACAATCTGTATTTACTTTAACACAAGTTAAATAAAGCTTTCTATGCTATACGACTAATTGGCAACTCACTAGTCAGTTAAGCACACTCATGTCATGGTGACTGGAGTTCCAGTAATTTGCAATGTGCGACACAGCTGACTTCTTACAGGGCTACTCTTTCACTTCTCCAAAGTGTTTTAGCTGCTCACTTTTACACCCCATTGCCTCCCTCAGCTAAACTAATTGGATGTCTCCTGACACCAGAATTAGATGAAAAATAACTAGGAAAACCAGAAGGCTCTGGTAGGTGTAGTACAAAGATTATTGTATATAAATATCAAATACTACCCTGCGACTACCAGTTGGGTTGCAGAGCAGTAATGCAGAGGCACAACACACATCCTTGCCACGACGACTGAGATCTGTCAACAAAGACATTGGGGCTGCTCAGTTGGTGTACAATCAGTTAGCCTGAGACACAGGACTGTCCCCTTCTCTGTGACTCCCTCTCACTATAGCTAGTCTCATCCTTTCTAGGCCCTTAATGCACTTTTTTCATGTCTTTATTATAGCACCTACTGTTGCAATATACTTTATATTTACATGACTATGAACTACCCCCAAAACAAGGATATTTTCTTATTCCTGCCACATGTTGAGCATAGATGTTAATAATATGTTCATAATGCATATAACCACGAGTCATGTTCTAAATTAAAACAGACAAAAGTGTATTTTTTTCCTTTGGTTTCTTATGTTTAGAAAATGTTCATTTTCTTAAAAAATAAATATAACCTTTGAAAAGTTTCATCAAAAACAACAAATAGAAAATCAAAGAACAGGCCCAAGACTTTATTTTTTTAAATACTTGATGTTGTCATACTAAGAACTTTTGAAATATAAATGGCACATGCACACCCCCTAGTGGGAAATTTATTCCTCAGTATAAATTTTACAAAGAGAAACTTCCATGGAAAGCTTTTTTTCAAGGAACAAATTAGTGTCATGTTCCATGGCTCAAACCTGAAGTAGCTAATTAAAAGAAAATTTAGTTACTCAATTTAAAGAAAAACATAAAAATCAATATTCACTCATCGGTTGAGTCAACATTTATTGAGTGTCTAATAGACACCACGTATTGTTTTAGGAGTTCTTTTTTAAAAGGACACATTGAGTTTGAGATCCTATTGGATATCCAAGCAGATACAAGTTCAGAAAGTCCCTTAAAGAAGAGAGTAGATAAAGAAGAGGCCTAAGGAATTAACCCTAAGATGTTCCAACATCCTGAGGCCAGGGAGAGGAAGAGAAACCAACAAAGACTAAAAAAGAAGAGGCCACTGAGTTAGGAGGAAAACCAAGAGGTCTGTTGCTTAAAGTCAAGGGAAGAAAATGTTTCAGGAAGAGATTGATGAACTGAGTCAAGTACCAAGTAAGGCAAGAACTATTTAGGTGGAGAGGTAAGGGTAAAGGTGGACTGGAATAGGTTCAAGAGATCATGAGAAGAGAGAAATGGCAACTGGGAAGGTAGACAGCTTTAGAAGTAATTTTATTTAAACAGAGTACAGGGAAACATCTTCCTAAATTGGTGGATAGTAACTGCACTAGTTGGGGTGAGGATTTAATAATATGGGTAACTGTTCAACCACTGTGTTGTATACTTGAAAGCAATATAAGATTGTATACGAACTCTTAATTCAATTTAAAAAATAATAAATAAATACAAAGGGCACAGGGAATGGGGGCAGAAGCTAGAGGGACATGTGGTATTAAAGATAACTGAAATAGAAAGAAGTAAGAAAGGCTTTTTCTAATGCTCTGTAGAATTCCAGGAATCCTTAAGATATCCTACAAAATAGTATCTGAAATGAAAATTGCCATCATGTTCTTGTGCCCACTAAATTAAGTATAACTCTGAGCCCCCATCCTATTTATCTGTTGGGAAAACTATGCTGGATCCATTCTTTCAGTCATTCAATAAACATGTACCAGCTATATATTAACTGGCACTGTGCTAACTGCTAGGGATGGATAAACAAAGCAA